TTTGTTTTCAAAAAAAAAAAAATTTGCCTTTGGATTCGCTCCTGTTTCCTAAGTATTGCTGTTATAATTGCTCTCTTCTTTGCCTTATTGGTTGATTTCTGGATTGCATCGCATGATTTGAGAGTGATTCTTGCTTGGGAATTTTGCTGCTAGTTTCTATGTCCTCCTGTTTTCATTCGCCTCAGTGTTCTGTACTGCTATATGGGCGAGTTGCTGTTTTCTCTGTTACTGAATTTTGACTTTTGTAATCCTTGGGCATCTCTTTTAAAATCCTTTTGCATAATGCTTGTAAATGTTGCACTGCTGAGTTTGATTGCATTTGAATTGAGTGATTTCTGTTCTTAGTTGATTAGCATAGTAGAATGCCTTTGGTGCAGTGTTATTAACCTTGTTTCATAGCTTGATCCTTAAGGAGGAAACATCTTGGAGAAAACCTTGATGGAAGGATTGTTGAGCCATATATTTTCTCATCTTGTGTGATTTTCATCTAGTTTTGGTTAACCTCTAGAACTTGTTTAGATTCTTTTTCAAAGCTGCATTAGTACCTAGATTTATGAAGATGATAGGGGCATTCATTTCTAAACCTTTACCCAAACACAAACCACTTGATTTAACCTTTGTTCACCCCTTTGAGCCTTCACTTTCATTCCATTCATTTTGTTTTAGCAAGTGTTTTGCATGAGTTACATTTGGTTTTTCATTTTGAAAAGTACATCATTAATGTCTATATCTTTGCTTTCTTGGGTTTGGATGCCAAAAGAAAAAAAAAAATAAAGAAGAAGAAAAAAAATAGAAATAGAAAAAGGCAAGAAAGAGAAGAAAATGTTTAGAAAAAGCCAAACAAAGAAAGTTATAAAAAAAAAAGAGAGAAGAAGAAAATAAGTTGCAACAAAAGAATAAATTTGAAATAAGGCATTCCATGGTGGTTTGAAGAGCAAAGATTTTTTGTCTCAAAAGGTTAAAATCTGCACATTGGTATTGTTTCATGATTGTACTTTAGCTCACTTTGAGTTGATTATTTACTACTCATGCATTTCACTTGTTAGTCCATTTCATTCATTTGGCCATACTTTCCAACATTACAATCCTTCAAGTCCCCTTGATCATGAGTCTAAGGTATGTTAGTGGTGGAGATATTAGAATTTCTACAAGCTTATGGTAGGTGCTAATCTAGGTGGATTGAGTGAAATTTTTCTCATTTGAGAGATGAGTGAAACACTTGTACCATATGTGAGCTCTATTATGTTTCTCTTCTTTTATCTTGCTATGTTTCTTGTGTTAATTTCTTTGCACTGAAGTATTCTATAATTGTTGATTAATTAAGAATAAAGGTTGCTTGAGTTAATTGTACATTCATGCTTAGTTAGTTTTATGTTTGCTTGTATTGAGTCTCTTTATTGAATTCTTCTTTAATGAAGTTTTGCCCAGGAGTGCAAAAGGCTAAGTGTGGGGGAGTTGACAAACTCAATTATTTTTATATATTTTGGTATCTTTTATATGAGTTTTGTCAGCTTAATTGGTCTCTTTTTGCCTTAATTGATTTATTTTGTTTTATTTTGAATTATTATTTTATAAGGGCAAAATTGTCATGTTTTGATTTAATTATGATTAATTGATTTTTAAGGACAATTAATGCTACCTTATTTTTGAATTTTGTTTGCAGGTTTTTAGAAGATTTAAAAATAAAAAAAATAAATAAATAAAAAATAAGAAAATAATAATAAAAGGGGGAGCAAAACGCAACGTTTTGCCCCCCAACCTAATATAGTATAATTCAATCTTCTTCACGGAGCTGGAGGCGGAACGAGCTGGGAGCTGGCGGCAGGAAACAAAACAGAGTGGAGCGAGCTAATGAAGGGAGAAGACCAGCGACGAGGAAGAGAGAACGAAGGACCAAAGCTTCACGGCAATCACACTTCCTCTCCCCTGAGTCTTCATCTTCCATCGACAGCATCTGTTCTTCTTTGTTCTCCACGGCTTCTTCCTGGTGGCAGACACGTACGGCGGCTGAGAGAGGGAGAAAACAGAGCGACGGCAGAACGAGCGTCCAGAACCAGAGGAGAGCGGCGTGAACAGGACCAGAGGACGCGCTCACGTTTGACGGCGAGCTCCTCTGTTCTGCTGCCTCTGCTCGTGCCTCCATTGCCACCGTCAACTGCATCTTCTTCCTCTCCACGTTGCGTAACAGAACCACAGGAGTGGCGGCAAACAGAGACAGAACGGTGGAGCTTTACTGATGCAGGGGCTTAGCTAAATCCTTCAATTCTCTAGTACAGTATTTATGACTTGAACTTGGAGCTTCAAAGGGGAGTTTCAGCTCTTCCAATCTTTATTTCTTTCATTGTAATTGTGATTTCTAGGTCTTAGAATGAATTTTATAATGTTTGAATGTGCTGTGATGATTTATATTTGTATTGAGATAGGTTGTAGCTGCTGGAATCTTTGATTAGCATTTAACATTATGCTGTGATTAGCTTTAATTTCTTTACATTGTACTGGGTCAGACTATGTTTTGAAATTATTGTGAATATTCAGTGGTAATTCAAGGTGGCTTGGTTATTGGACTAAAAATGTTAATTGCTTTTCCTTGATTCTTTTTGGCTAATTGTGCTGAAACAGTTTAGTTGTGAGTAATTAATATGCAAGGTGGCTTGGTGTTGATTATTCTAATTAAACCGAGTCTAAGAGGTGGCTCTTAGAGTCTTTTGAATTTAGCTAACTCCCAAATTAATTAAAGTAATGATAGCCTTAATAATTGTACTAGAGGATTGTTTTTCCATTTGCTGTCACTTGTTTATTCACTTTACTTATTTTATTCATATCCATTTTATAAACTAAAAATCCAAAAATTATTTACTCATTTGGCATCCTTTTAAATTTTGCCAATTAGTTAGTTAAAAAGAAAATCAATTCCTTTTCAAGTCAATTCTTTATTTTTGATACTTAGTTTGCTTAGGAATTCAAATAAAGTCTCCTCAAAGTGAAACGACCCGAGTTTTGCACTATATTGCATTGCTTGGATTTATTTTTGATTGGGAACCCCAAGGCGAACGACAAAGGCTCTCATCAATGACTTTAAGGTAGAATTCGGTATTCTTCTTATCGGTCATGTAATGGACGTAGCTGGCGAGCACGCCATTGATGCCTTTTATGTTTGTCAGTTTGGCTGCATCTCTTTCAGCTATTCTCATAGCTAAAGTAAGGATACATGGTTGATCCACTTCTTCTCCTTCCTCAACTTCGGTTTCATTGGGAAGATCTAGTGAATCATTAAAGACCAAATGAGGTTCGGTACGAAGGGGTTCAGTGGGGAATAAAGATTCCGACTCAGGTCCAGAATCCATTAACTCCTCCGGGTCTTCTTGAGGAACCTCTTCAGGGTCCTGATCCTCTAGTTCATATTCTGAAACTGCATTATCCATGTATGAGTATTCCAATGAACTATCTTTGATATTTTCAGTGCTACTAGAAGCCTCTTGCTTCATTTTCACATAGAACAAAATAATTTAAATTATTTTGAATATTCTGGAATTTATTTCCATATGAAAATACCAGAAAATACACTAAAAATACTCACAAATGGATCCTTAATTGTCTCAAAAATTATCAAATTATATATCAAAATGAAGATCTTGATTTTAGGGATTTTTGAGACAAACCGCACCTCAAACGGACTTCCCACGTGCCTACACACACCCCTAGAAAGAAGAATTAGCGAAAAATTGAAGGAAAAAAATTTTGCCCACTCGTGCTGTCAGCGTGTGAACAACACGCGCCACCATGCAGCCAGCCGTCAGTGACATGAGCCGTTCTGGCAGCCTCCACGAGCCACCACCTTTCAGGTGGTGGGTCCTACGTGTCCAGATGGCATTCCACGTGGCGGCATGAGCCACATGGCAGTTCTGTACCAAAATTTTTTTTTTAATACGTTCTTTTTTTTTACACTAAAATGTTTTTTTTTTAAAAATACTGGGCTAGACTGGGTTGGCGCCAACCAACCTGATCTAGAGGCTAACCCATGCTCCTCCCTTTAAAAAAAATCTGTCTTTTTTTTTTTGCAATGATCAAAACGACGCTGTTTTGATCACTGTGCACCGTCTTCTACCTCCAGTCGGGTCAAACCGAGCCGGCTGGAGTGATGGGTCGGGTCTTACGGACCTGTCGGACCCAGAAACTTCTCCATATCTTGGCCGTCTGGTGTTCGTTTTTCGCGCATTTTATATCGTTTTCTTCATTTTTTCGTCCTCTACACAATGGGATAGTTTTTATAGCCTAAAAACTTGATTTTCCAAACACCCAAAAATGAAAAATGTACGATCAAAAAAGGATTACTATGAAACGATTTTCATGGAGGCAGAGAGATAATGTATCATATCTACTTATAAATATAAGTCAGAAAACAATTATACAGGAGTATAAATGGAAGGATTTACATAATATTTATTGGAGCAAATCACTGGATACTCATAACCGAAGAAACAAAAAAAAGAACACTAATATAAAAACGCAGGCCACAGAATGACACCAATAGGAAAAATAAACCATGCTCTGATACCAATGAAGGAATTCGGGCATACTTGGAATCTACAACGAAATCAGATAGCCACGCGGAGGTCCGATCACGGTGATGGAGTTGGATCCGGATTTTCACAGCAAATGCACTGGGAGGGAGTGTTTGGAACACAAAACGGAGGATGTCAAAAATGAAAACAAATCGGGGGTTTTTACTGAACTGATCCCTTGCGGTTTTCTAACTACACATTTTTGAATTAAAAGAAAACTACCTCCTCCGTCCAACCGTTCTCGCTTTTATGCAAAATATATGAAAAAAGCAAAATCATAGTTAGAGACCCATAATTTTTGCTATTCACACTGGAGCCCCAAATACTAATGGGTCTGGGTCCAATCCACCAAGGGTGGACTGGCCCATTTTCTTACACATTCAATTCAAAAGAGGCATCCAATCTTTGCCTTAGGGACAATAATGACCAAACGCATGCCTCCAAGCCCAGCCGTAATCCTATGTTTCATAACCCAATGTAGCATCCGGGCATTGTATCAAGCTATGAGGAAACAAAGATATTTCACCAACTCCTAGATGTTTTGACCAAAACTGAAGTAATGGATGATTATGCTGCTTTTCCTACTTCATTATTGTTTGTAGTAAGAGGCCTACATATTCATATAGTGGTAGAAATGTACGGGTGAAAAACAGCCATAGATATTCTTATTTTTTTCAATGTGCAACTCACTCTCCAGCAAACCAGCCAGCAATATTATCAACGGTACTAATGCTACTAATTAACCACAACAAAGTTTACAATAAACTTTACAACTCTCAAGCTAATAACATCCTAATTTACTTAAACAAAACCCTAAATCTAGATGGACCTCAATTCTCACTTTGAGAACAAAACTCTTGAAGAAGTTGTTTTGCCAAAAGATCTCGGATAAAATCAATGTCTTCAATAGTATAGAAGTCCTTGTTATAAAAAATCTGCAAATTACTTCTTCAAATTTGCTAGTAGATCCATTTTGAATAATTTCATACATGTAACGGATAACATAGTATCCGCATTCTTTATTCCCTGGTTGTTGAGGGCACTGCAAATCAAATCAAAATCAAATGGTAAAGATGAACAAAGGCACATGTTAAACAATTGTTGGTGAAAAAACTTGAAGTTCAAACTACTTACTTTCGGTTGGATCCAAATCGTCTGGCCATTTTTACTATTGTGCTTCTCACCCATAGGATAATATGTCTTTAGAGCCCTGTTAGCAAGTGCAAATAACAAATAAGATATTAAAACAATTTAATTATTTCAAAAACCAAAGCTTTACAAATAAACTTACATGTTGAAGATGATTTTCATCTCAGTGCTTGGGCCATGACCTAAGGAATCAAACCAGTAGATGATGTTGTCCATGGGGCAAACAACACACAGTGCCCAGTGAAAACCACAAGATATAAGGGATTTGAATGTTGTAGATAATTTGATAATTCTTAACAAACTGAACATGTACAAATGGATATAATTAAGCTACCTGCCCTTCAATAATTGGTGTTAGATAACACAGCAATTTCTTCTCTCCAATAGTATTGCCCACATATCTTATCATCTCATCCGGTGTGTTGTAGGCCTTTTGCACAGTCGCAGGACACAAGAATCCATGTAAACCATTTTTTCCTGTTGAGGTGCATATGTTGTAGAAGTACCTATCATTAAATTGGAATAAGGCAAAAATCAGTGCATATATACAATTTAAGAAATTAGAAAATAAATTAAAGTTACATGATTGCTAATTAAGCCCATGATATATCCATCTCCTGCATGGATAGGAATTCAATGATATCTTTATTGTCCATTCCAAAGGAATAAGATTTGTTTGCACCCACGATCCCTTTAGGCATCTTCAAGTCGATCTTCTTAATTGTATTTTGAATCTCATGCAGTTGTGCCAAATAGGGAAAATTCCCAACAACTTTAGAGTCCTAATAAAATATAAAATAAAGTCAAGTCATATAATTTGTAACATCCCGAATTTTCTGACTCAGGATGAGTAGAAAAGAGAAAGTTCATTAAATTTATTTAATAGCTCAATCACAATTGGGGAAAATTATGGAATATTGATTTTTCAAGGTTTAGAAATATTTTGGAAAAGTTCATTCCCCAAAAACTGGTTAAATGATTTTAAAGTTATTTTCATAGCAAAATGGGTTATTTTCTTAGAAAATACTTAGAGGTTTCTAATTAACTAGAAAATTTTAGGGAAATTATCTCATGAGGTAAAGAAGTTATTTGAGGCATAAAATCCTTAAAATGAGTTAAGGATTAATTTCTGGAATTAAGAGTTATTTTCTTGGAAAATTCAAGAAAAATAGTTATGAGTTAATTTTTGACCCAAAATGTTTAGAGAAATTATTTTATGGATCAAAGAAACTAGTCGAAAAGAAAGATCCATATAAAACATAGTGGAGTAATTTTTGGGTTTATCTATTTATCTCAGAATTATAGAGGAAGCATGAAAATGAAAGAAAGCAATGAGCGTAACGGCAAAATGGACATTTCGTTTGTTTTTACTTCCTCATCACACGTGTACTGCCTCCCCACTTAACATAAGATAACACTCTTCCTCCTGATTTTTCATTCGGCCACTCGAAGGAAAAGAGAGAGAGAGACGGAGAGCGAGAGAGGGAGAGCACGGGAAAAAGCAGTACCGGAGTTGGTGATCGGAGGTAGTGATCGGTGGCCAGATTCCTGCATGCAAACGGAGTTTCAGATTCAGGTGAGCCCTCTGATCATCATTCTACTCTTCGTTCTTTGGTTTGCTGTGTGTTTGAAGAGTTAATGATGAAAGAAGTTTGGGTTCTAGTGAGAGAAACTCTTGGTTAAGTCTGAAGCTCAATGATGATGAAAGAGTAGTGTTTGTTGATGATGATGGAGTATGATTTTTAGCTTGCATGTGGATTTCCTTGCTCTGTTTTGTTGCTGGCCGAACAGGGGTTGAGTGGCTGGTTTAGGATGATAATGAGTTAAGTTCATGGAGTGAGCATATTATATTGCATGTTGCTTATCTCCTCTGCAAGTTAAACTTGAATAGTTGTTGTTGTTGTTTCTGATGCGGGTAGCGTCAGGTTCTGGTGGAATTAAAGGGGGAAAATTGCACTATTCAGTGTATATATGAGGCCGTATGTGATATTGGTTTGTGAAGTGACGGTTTTCGAACCCCAAGCTCCGTTTTAATTAAGTGACATGGAGTTCCGTGTTTTGGTTGTATAGTGTCGGTTCATAGTAACAAAAGTAAGGGAAGTTCAGATATTATGCAAAAGAGCTTTAGATGGTGCTGTGTGATAGTTTGGTGAACGTTTTCAAATCAGTAAAAAGAACAAAATCCAGAATATGGGTGCTGATGTACGAAACATTTATGGAGGTTAGAAAGTGGCTAAGATATATATATAGAGAACGAAGCTATTTGGATATATATTAGTGAATGTGTGTGTGTGTGTGTATGGGGGAAAGCCGTGGAAGTATGAGTGGCAAACATTGAAATTGAAATGGTTAATTGGGAGGAAGTTTAGGCATGATTTTATATATATATATATATATATATATGAGTCTATGTGTATAAGTGTCCGCTTGGTTCAGTGATTTAAGAAGAAAAAGTTGCTGCAGTAAATATTAATTGATATGGGAGAAAGGCGAAGCTAAGAGCTTAATATATATGTATACTTGGGAGAGTGTTTCAGTTAGTTGGAGTTTGGAGGAAATTAAAGTGGTTAATTTTCTTAAGAGCTTGTAAAGATGGTAGAAAATGCTTTTAAAATCTGGAAATATTTTCCAAATTTTGGGGTGATGTGTATGGGTTCTCTGTCTCTGTTTTATGACTATCAAAACAGAGAGCTTGCCCTTATATTAAGGGGGTTGAATTTGGGACATTAGAGGAAGGTGAAGGCATACTCGCATATAGATGAGGTTACACTTGGAGATTGGAGTCTAATGCTCTCTAGTATTGTTGGTCTGTGTTTGGCCGAAAGCTAATGGAGTTTATATTGGTGCTTGAGAAGTTGAAGTGATCCAATGGAATAAATGAGATATAATATATATATATAGTCGCAGATTTGTCTTAACAAATTTATTATATATGTATATATGTATGTGTGAAGATGCCGTGAGGAGTGAGTTTGGAAGCTAAAATCAGATCGGAAGTGAAAAGTGATACACACACATGGCGGGAGAAAAGAAGGAAACGAGATTAATATATGCATGTGCTGTTTGGTTGCTGTTGTCCGTGAGGTTGATAATTGGGAAAGTTGGAATTTTCGAATTATTGAAGTTAAGTAAGGATCTTAAAGGTATATGAGTTGCTAATAATAACTAGAAAAGTTTGTAGATTTATTTTGGAGTGTTAGATTAAATTTATTTGGTGGAATAAGGAAAAGTAAAGTAACACTATGGGTTGAGATAAGAAATGAAGCGTTCCAAAGAGAATAGTTTGAATAAGAAAAATTATCCAAGATCACCAACTATTATGTAAGGGTAGAGATTAAAGAAGATTTGAGATTTAAAGAGAATTATTTAATTTATGAATTACAGTTGGATCAAATATTGATCTACCCTTACGAATATGATAGGTTTTTATACCTGCTCAAGCCCACCAAGAAGCAGAAAGAAAGGAGAACGGTAAGGTTTGATTTGGAGGGAGGCCGCCCAGGTAGTAGTTCTTTCCTACCTTACACTTGTGTATGATTGCTGCATGTCTGTTTGTGCCATATTGCTGTTTAAAGCATGAGAACATGTAATCCTTAATTCCTTGCATGGATTTTTAGCCGTGATCACGTGTAGCTGATAGACATGGGGCAGTGATTGCCAATTATTTGCGCATTATTTATTCAGCTTGTCTATTTGTCATTGCGCATAAATGCTTAATTGCATTAGCTTGCAAGGTTATGTTCCACTTTGGCTTGTTTTGCATGCTTTATGTAATCTGCACATTTGTTTGATGGAAATTACTACTACAAAAGAATCTCACCCTCCCATTCATGATGAACAGCGAAGGCTAGTAACTCGAAGGATAAGGAGGATGTTTAAGAAGAAGGTGAGCTGATTGAAGAGCAGAGATACCTGTTATAATTCTGTAAATTGTATAGCAAAATATTTGGGCAAGTAACTTTACTTGCTTTATGTAAATATTATTTTGTATCCAGCATAATGAGGAGAGCACTGCCGGGTGCAGGCATGTACTTTTAACCAAGATGGTTACTATATTTTCAACATAATAGAGATTGCACAGTATGAAATCATTTTAGGTGATAATAGATTAAGGTGAATATAGGGTTGAGTGTGGATCACTCTTCAATTACTCTAAAAGGTTTGAAATTTGATCGACGAATTCCAATATTGGAAAAAAAAATCCCTATCTTTTCCCAGGTCGGAAACCTAACGTTAGTTATTCACATACGTTAAAATGATCCTATTAGTATATATAAAAGTAAAGTGCTGCATAGTTAAGTAGAATAGCAAAGAAAAATCACATGACAGTAAGGTTTTTGCTACTATTGAAGGTATCGTTGTTATGTCAACTGGTCTTTTAGGCTATAGAATGAAAGATCCTTTTACCTGGCCTAGTTTGACAACCTCGCCATTAGAGAACGACACGTCTGCATCGGCTTGTCCCTCTCGAACAGCTATAACTGTCACCCTGCATCGGTCCTCTTGGATTTCTTTATGATGGATGGTGGACCTTGTATAATCGAGTGTCGGCAACAACACGCTTATTTGGGATCTCCAAATAAGGATGACATGCTATTCTATCTTCTGGTGTGGGACTAGGGTCATGCAGTGCCAACGCCCCTAGTAGATTATAGTTGTCTTTGGTGCTTTGAAAGCTTTGGGAAGCCTGAGTGAAAGAAATGGAGGAAACATTGGCAAAACTCAATATCAGTTTAATTGAAATGAATTACAGACTTGAGGTGCACTGTCTTCTTGTGGAACCTGTCCAACTGCCGTGCTGTGATATTTGCGCTTTCGAGAGCCCGCTTCTTTGTGAAAGGAGCAACCAAGCCCCAGTTGAATTTGTTGAATGTAATTTTGATATTCAAGTGCAGACGTTGGGCATACCCCACAACTTTTGATCTTTCCTAGTCTTACACGATTCCAATACGGGAGACGCCCCACTGTGAATTTAATTTCAACCAATGGATGATAAATGCTGCTTTGAGCATCTCTTTTCTTTTTCCTTCAATTTTCCTTTGTGGTTCTCTAGAAGAATTTGGATCATACCATAGAAAAACATAATCTGACAATGTGGAGTAGTCATCTGTCATAAAACAAATGGCAGCCTTGCAAGCATTTTCACCATCAATAAGCCACGTGGCATCAATTCCTGTCTTCGGTGGTGATTTAGAAACGACGGCACAGAAAATGAAACCGCCATTCCAAGGTCGTGGAATCGAATTGAAATCTACTGTTAAGACAGACTGTGTGGTCCTATACATAAACCACTCTGGAACTCTTTTTCCTGGATAATTTAGAAAAGCTATTTCAAAAATGGCTTTATTTATCTGAAGTAGCACTTTTGCCGCAGCAGCTTTGATTGATTGTTGATCCAACTTCATGCAATTTGTAAAACTAAAGCCAAGATAATCCGATTCATCATCATCATCAGAATCTACTTTCTTTCCTTCTTCACCTTCGTTTGTCAAAGGTGAATGTAGGATCTCAATGGCTAGGCGTTATTGGCGGACAGTGTCAAGAGGGAGGGAGGGAGGGAGTTCTGGTAGAGACCGAAGCCTTTTGCATCTATCCAAGTAAAGCTCTTGTAGCCTCGAAAGATGTCTGGTGCTTAAAGGCAAGGTCTCTATATTAGTTTCTGAGAGATGTAACTCACGTATTGATGACAACAAGCCGATGTTGTCAGGAACTTCAAATAATTCACTACAATCATTCAGCCACAGTTCTTCCAAATTACGTATTCTATCAAATATTGGATGTAGGTTTGATGCTAACTTGTTGCAACCAGAAATATAAAGACTTCGAAGGTTACTCAGGTCGACCAATTTATGGGGAAGACTTGTCATACTTTCACATCTGTCTAGAAACAACATAAAAATTTTGCTAACATGCCCACTTGATGAGCATGACTCACCATTATTGATGGCTGTTTCTGAGAGGTCCAGTACAAAATCACAATTTTGTGAGGTCACTGAAAAGTTTTTTAGTCTTGAGCATCCATCCAGGTGGAGAGAACGTAGTGATTTGAGATGGGTATTACTCGCAAGGTTGGTGAGGTTTTTTTGCGATAAATCACAAAGTCTATGGAGAGATAAAATTGATGGATGAACGCACCGTAATTTTGAACAATAATCGAGATTAACTTCTGCAAGATGTTTGGCCTTGGAAAAATTTGGGAGCTCAATCAACTTTTTTGGCCCGTGGAGTTCAATTTTCTTTAAACTCACAAGATTCTGTAAAAATAAATTACATAGTAAGATTCATGGCCAAAACATGAAATTACTCCCTCTAATCCTTTTTACAAGACATTGTTAATAATGTTACTAAGAAAATTAGTTAAAATTAATTTTAGAAGGTTTACAATTTCCAAAATAACTATTAATCAACAATCTTTATAAATAAGGTCGTGGAGATTAGTGTAAAAGGCAATGGCATTTTTTAGAATGAGTTATCAATGTCCTTTCATTAAATTTTGCAAGAGGTACTGTATTCAAGACTAATGAGTAGAACCTTACAAATAAGATTAAAGGGAGTACACAATTAAGATTTTCTAACAACTGTATCAATAATATTTTCTAAGAGAAAAATATAAAATTTACCTGGTCTCCATCCCACAGTTTTGTCAACTTGCTGAAGTTCATTTCAATTTGAACGAGATTTTCAACCTTGAATGTTGTTGGCAAGGACTTTAAAGGGTATCCCACCCAACCTAATAGTCTGATTTTATTTGGTAAAAACTCCAAACCATTGGGTAATTTTAACTTGTTCCCGACCTGGTTATTGTAATTTTTATAAAAATTTAGAAACATTAGATTGGGCATTGAACGAAAGACTTGAGGACTTAAGCACATCTCTTCAACTTCTGAAACATTCAAAGTTATGCCTTTAATGGCTCCACTTCCCTAACAAATAAAAAATAATAATAGCAATAAGAATACGTACATTATGTAAATCAAACGAGAATTTGGAATTTAACATTTTTATAAAAAAAATTAAAAATTTCACTGATCTTACCATGTTTTCCTTCAATATTTCAGAAATTTCATTAGAATTGCATAATCGACTACGCTTACTAGGATCATCTAAGGATTCTTCAAGAAAAATTTGTCGACCCATTTCTTTTATCAAATTGTGCAAGGATATTCTTCCTTCACAAATACATAAAAGAGCTTTATCCTGAAGACTTTCCAATCCAATCTTGAATGAAGGACCATATGATGCATGTAACAAATTTTGTACATCATCAAGATTATAATCACTTAATAAACACGCGATATCCAAGAAAATATTTTTATCTTCAGGATCAAGTCCTAAACTCAATTTTAGAATAACATTAATTTCTGAACAAGGAAATTTTGCAAGCCTTTTCAATTTGCTTTCCCATAATTCTTGATTTTTGCCATATAAGGAGGAACCTAAAACTTTTAGGGCTAATGGATTTCTAGCTGCATAGTCAATCATACTCATTGCCAACCTCCTTACTTTTGGGTCAACACAGTCTTTTTTGAAGGCATTCAAGGAGAAAAGTTGAAAAGCCTCATCAGAATTCAAAGCCTCAAGCATATATATATCAGCTACTTTCTTACTAAGAAGTTGTCTATTTCTAGATGTTATCAAGATTCTACTACCTGGTCCAAAGCAATCATGTCGTCCGCCTAAATTTTCTAATTGTTCATGATTATCAACATCATCAAGAACAATGAAAATTCCTTTCTGACGAAGTCTATCTATGTCTTTAGGAAATATTCGATCATCAAGTATACGAATGTGAGATTCTTTATCCCCTAATAACTCCAGAAAAATTTGTTTCTTCAAGGCAGTTATTCCTATTGCTCTGACTTTTTCCTTACATCTAAAAAGCAAGACCCTTCATATGCAAAACACAATTTGTTAAACAATGCTCTTGTAAGAGTTGTTTTGCCCATACCGCCCATAGCCCAAATGCCAATAAAACGGGCATCATCATTTGAACCTTTGGACAACAATGATTCTACATCTACCATTCTTTTATGAATCCCAATTAAGTCTTTTAGATCATGTTCACTTTGAGACTTGTGACGCAACCTTTGTAAAACAGATCCCACTATTTCTTCATTAATTAGCTCCGCTTCATTCCTGCACATCATTGAAAAAGTAAAGACGCGCCAAATTTAATGCCACATTATCTATTCAGACTTTTCAGCTCTTCCTCATGAAACTTAACTTCGAAAATTTGCCAACTTTTAAAATTTGTTCTAATAGCTTTCTTGAGAACCATTACCAGATGACTTAAACTAGATATACAAAATTTCAATTTAATTTTATGACTATGAATGCATGGTTATGACTATTGTGAGTCAGAGATTTAGATTAAAGTATCATAATGGTAAAATTGATGGGCTTAGTGGACCGGTTTAGCATGGTGTTTAAGAGAAGCTACTCTCTTCATGATTATCAACTTCCATCAGATTCTCAAAGATTGATTTAATTTAGCCTCAAGAGAAAGATCATAAGCATGTAGTTGCCTGTCGAAGTGACAAGGAAAACCAGCGAAGTTGGTAGAATCAGTGAGAGCCTTCCCCCACCTTTGTAGTTGTTGCTTGTCGATGCTTCTGCGCTCATGTTCTTCAAATGCTTTCTTGTAACTTCCAGACTGCTTCCTCATATGGGAAGGATCTACTCTATAGAACACTGGCATAACACGGCGACCTTCATTTTTGGAGCACTCTAATAGCTTTGTAAGCTCCTTCAAGCACCATGTGGAAGATGCATGGTTTTCTAAGATCACAAGGAACAGAGTTGAATGTTCAATGGCTTCGTCAAGAGATGACCATACCTCATCTCCTTTCTCAATTCTGTAGTCGATGTATGTTTCTATTTTGTTTTTGCAAAGAGCTTCATGAAGATGGCTGATGAAACTGTGGCGGGTGTCCTCACCTCTAAAGCTAATAAAAACATCATATTTCTTTAGAGATTGAGATGACGGATTAGCGGAAGGAGATGAAGCCGTATCAAATCGATTTGATAGGACACGCAAAAGGGAATTGGGACTCCTTTCAATTCAGATCTAAGAAGTATTTGTAATAGGAACCAGACAGTGCCAATGTAGGGTCGTCTTGGAGTTGATTCAGGCAACCAAAGTCATTGGAAGACGGTAGGTTGTGACTGTTTATTAAACTAATGGGTGCGAAACCTTTAGGAAGTTCGCAAAACAAACAAACACACAAATAAAAGCAAAGCTACTTTTGAGCTGTTAAGATCAATCTGCCTCATGAAATGGGATCTCTTCGTTGGCTTTTCAGCATCAGACTCAACGTGGATGTTTATTGCCTTCTCAACATTTCAATCCAGCCCGAAGTAGCAGAAGAGGGGTAATGAATAATAACTGCGAAACTTCATGAAGTGCAACGCAACATTTCAAAAAGGTGATAGGCCTCTCTCAAGTTAATTAAAACTTGTGTTCACAATCTGAAAACAGGGCAAAAGATAAGAGAAAGAAAACTCTCCAATTTCTCCGTAATTATAATTCTCGTAATCTCTTCTAAATTAAATACATATACAAGAAAACAGCCAAGTTTAGTTGATAATGTTTTTCCTTTTCAGTTGTATCCTCAGTTAAATGTTATCATTCGCAAGCGTATCTTTATTAATAGATATTTAGGAAAAATGTCTTAATTAGATTTAAAACTTTGCAGTGAGATTTATAACTATGAACAAAACAAATTTTAAAAGACTGAGACTTATGTTTAAGAATTGACAGGGTTGTCAAATGCACCGTAGGAGACTCTAGGCAATCATTCCTGTTTTCTACATTAATCCGTGAGATATTTACAGGGGGAATACTGCAAAAACCCATCAGAATAATCACAAACGATGCTTTTGGAAGATAGTTAAAGATTTATAGGTTGGCTTCTGCGGGACTTAATTATGAGAAGCTTCACAAGGCTTGGATTTCAAATTTCAAAGAGAGGCGGTCCTACTGAGTTGGAATTAGTGGGGGAAGTGATAGCCAAAAAGTATAAATTCTTTGATATTGTCGTCAATGAAAAGTGGAACTTTGAGTAAATGTTCACACTGGTAGCCCCACCAAAAGTGGAACTTTGGAAAATAAGCAGGCACGCAAGTTCTTATGATTACGCGTGCAAGTTCTTGGTTTTCTCAAAGATACAAATATAATTAAGTCCTAAAAGTTAGCATGCCCATTAGAATTATACCTTTCTTAATTGTGTTTCACTGCTTCTACTCCTTGTCTTGATTTCTAGCTAGCACGTGTCTGCTTCGCCTTTAGAAATATAAACTTGAACAAATAATTATTTTTTTAAAGAATAATAATGTATAATATGTAAGATTTGCATTAACATTTAGAATGAAATTCTTAGCATTTTATTTTTTTGGGTGATAAAGGGAGTATAAACCTAGTCAAAATAAAGATTTTGTAGCGGCGAGGCCTCTTGCATCATCATTTAAAATGGCAAAACAAGTCGAGTGACTTAATTACATGCGAATAAGATGGGTCATGCATGTCTCATCCCATGTGGCACTTCGTATTGGTGGAAGTACAATTTAATACTTTGTCTAGTCTTTAATGTTGAAACTGCTTAAACAATTGAATAAATTAAAAAAGTCAGATAAATTAATTAATATAACATATGCGATATGTGATTTGATTGTATAAGTATTTATGTGCAACATTTAACTATATTTATATTAATAAGTTATGTAAATTAGTATGGAAAAACATGGTAAATATAATGATGCTAGCTTAAGTGATAAAGGAAAAACTAAAAAATTAAAATCCTCCTAATATATATAAAATATGGATAGCATCGGTGTTAGTGAATAATCCATAAATTAATCTAGCCTCACAATAAGGAGAGGGCTATTAGGAAGGCACAAATTTTAAAATGGGAGATTCGATTCTTGGGAAGTAGTTGTAAAATAAGGAGAAGGATTAGCAAATTTATTAGATGACATGGAAGTACACATTAAGTACGTCACCTCGCCACTCCCCTATATTCTTAATCTCGACAATAAAGTTGACTTACATCACCCTTGGTTTAATTACTTGATCTATTTGATAACAATAACATCCCAATTTATGATACTCATGAGTAATTTTCTATTTCCAATCATGTTGCCGTCCATGGGGAATATTTTGTTAATTGGTACAACTCATAGTTTGACGTTTGGAGGTCTCCGTCACATCATGCTATGGCACTATCAGCTTTTCCGTTCCTTGTGTCTATATATAAAAAAAAAAAAAAACATTGAAACCTTAGCTCTTTGTTGATATATGAAAATGTGTGCGTGTTATGGGATTAAGGGGGTGTTTGGATAGAAACCAAACCATAGTTTTAGAAGTGTTTTTACGGTTTACAAAGTAAATATATGAAGAAGTTTGTCTCGTTTTGTGAAAAAGTGCTTCTGAAACCATAGTTTGGAGGTTGCCAAACACCCCCTAAATAAGGTTGGGTGGGAAATACCAGGTTGTGAGGCTTAGATTGCCTTTCACATAATGTGTCTTTCATCCTTCCTAAAAGCTTCAATTGGCAAGAATCATCTACCAAAACACCCCTATATGAGAGTACCATTAATTAGCTAGAAAATAAATAAATTAAAGTGCACAATTAAGCAATGGAGTGCAATCCGAAACAAAAAGCACACATTTTCATTCAAAATATGGACACAAATGTAAAAAGTTGCATGAAATTTTAGAGTTTAAAAATTATATATATACAAAATATTTACATTATGTAATTAAAGTGGATTAGTGACTTAATTATTGTAAACTTCTTTTAATTCTATAGATATATTTTAGAACTTTTTTTAATCGTTGACTAGGAATTTTGCCTTTCTTTGGTCCTTTAATGATATATTATGCCAAATGCCAAGTGCGTTATATATACTGAAACATCATGATCTACTGGGGTAAATAATTAATACACCAACTAATGGGGTGCTTTCATCTTCTATCTGTAATAAAATTTATAACATCAATTTGCATTAAAAAGTTCATAATTTAATCCCATAATTTGTCCAAAATTCCAATCTAGTTCCATAGTTTAAAAACTGGTAAATCAATATTTATAATATAGCTAAATATCTAATTATTGATGCAAAATTTTAGTCACGCAAACAAACCACTCTATTTTGTTTCATCACCCAATCGTTGGCTAAATATTATATATGTGTGTCGCAAATGACAAGGCGTGATACGGACCACCCAACCTCAACCTCAAATGCATTATATAATTTGGAATTTATTACTCTTCCGGTGCTAAATATAAAACCTTTTTTGTAGTGTAATTTACACTACAAAAAGGGTCTTATATTTAGGACCAAGAGTAATAAATAAGAAAAATAATGCGTCAGCTGAATATGATTTGTATGAAGTGACAATTCAATATTCCCAATGGACGCCAGCATGCATTAAAATAGGAAATTAATCAAACATTATGAGTTTAATTGAGATGTTATGAAATACTCCCCTTTTTATAATAAACAATATCTCTAGTAGTTGTGTTCCTAAATATAAGAAATAAATCCTTTTTGTATGAAATTTTAAACAGATATTTTTACTTTTACTCGCATTAAATATATGTCACTTATTATTTCTCTATAATAAATTTTCACACATTATTTCTCATGTGTACTTTTTTTACATATAAGGATATAATTAAAAAAATATGTATATATCTTACATTGCAAATTGAAAATTGAAAACTATATTAAAGTGTATTGAGCTGGACTCTTAATTTGCTTATGCTGTGATAAATGGTCAATATTGGCACTGGGTGTAAAGCAACTACCACTGATTTATTATTCGGATATCAAAATGAGCCTAACTTAATAAACATTGGATTATTACTTGTTAATGTTAACAACCTTTTATATTTGTTTCATTATTTTTGCCACTAGCAGCCCACAATCACTATCAATGTAAATAAATAGGCTAGTGGCATCACAGAGCATGAGCGTCATAACATTCAATAGTAAGTAATAAGAAAGTTGGTACATTAACCAACAAACTGTTAGTTAATATGGTAAGCGGTCTTAACCTTGTAAGGAAGAGAACACAAGTTCAAATCACAAGAAGAGTACTTGTTGGGAGGGCTTTAACATTAAGGTTCCTAATCCAACAGGAATTAGTTTCAAGTTCAAAATGACTTGACAATACTCTGAGTTACACCAAAAAAAAAAAAAAGTTGGTGCATGTGAGAGACAAACATGATTAATAAAGTAAATGAATGGTATAGCATTTATGAATATCAAATACACTTAAATAGATTTTTGTTTGCATAATTTTTCTGTCTCCTGTAGGGAGGAAATGATTGCTAAATACTTTCTCTTTCACCAATCTCTACATCAAAAGAATGAAACTCCAAACAATATGCAAATTTAACATTTCTAAAGAGGTTAGGGAAAATAATTTATTGGACATAATAATTAGATTGCTACAGTTTCTCAAATTTAAGAATTTGAGCTTTAAAAGAGAAACGATAGATGGATCAAGCCGTGATAATTTAGTGCATCCTTCAAGCTCTAGCCTCTCAAGATGTGGAAGCAATTTGAAATTTGGCATCTTTATTAAATCCTTGGATCCACTAAGATTCATGTTCTTCAAGCGAAAGAATTCCCATGGATAAAAAAAAGTGTACCAAATATAATTAGGTAAATAATTTATAAAAGTCAGAAGGGCTTAGGCACAATTAACATTACCTTTCCTCGTTCCCTTTCATTTATGATACAGCAATCAGGTGTCTTTTCTTCATCCCATATATTAGTGATGCAGCTATCAAGCAAAATCAATTCCCTAATACTGATAGGATATTGGTGCCATATGAAATATATTGGAGCCTGCTTGAAAGATGCTTCAGCACTCCAGAAAATTTTACGTTATGAAATATGATTAGTAAAAGATATTTCATCCGAGATAAAACTTCAACCCTCAATGTTCTTCCTTGTGAATCTTCAAGCTCCAAGACTATCACTTCAACTTCAAAAGTAGCCTAAATATAAAATACATTCATTTGAAAAAGATGCAAAGTAAGACTACTTCAATATTAATGTTGTAGGCAAACAAAATATGTGGTAGCAAAACTTAGTGTCTCATTTTGCATAACTCTATAAATATCATTGAAATCCCACAATCTACTCCACTCTTCTGGCCTGGAAGGAAATTTATGCCAAACAATTTCTTTTCCCATTTCTCGCAACAGACTATGCATTTGTATCTTTTGATTTACAATAGTCACAAGTGATTTTTCAATTAAAAGTGGTATCCTCACTTGACTAAGATTTTTCAATTAAAAGTGGTATCCTCACTTGACTAAGGGCAAATATCTTATAATGACGATATACATGACCACCTAAAATTCCTTCTACATATATATATATTTATATATTTTTTTTTTTGCTACAAGAGAAAGGGCTAGGCCCAACTAAAAACTAGAATTAATCAAAAGGGGATTCAAATCCCATACTCTCTGCAGCCACAAGGTTACTAAGCCACCGCGGACAAGAACTCAATAGAGAAGAATTATTGAGACCTTCCTTTGCAAGAGCGTCTGCCACTTGATTTTGTTCCCTGGGAATGTGCTGAATCTCCACTTGCCAATGAAACGTCAAAAGGTCGTGTATTTGCATTAGGAGGATGCTGTATAGTGAGTTGACCTCCTTCTACATATTTAATATCCTTCCCCATGAAAAAGCATGCAATGTCTAAAACGTTTCCTTAGCAATGAAGTCCAGTTCAAGAAAACTGCTTCTGAGGACTTTCATTATCATTAAGCTAGCGACCTTTTTGAATTCAACCAATGCTGTACTCCATTCGGAGGCCCTTCTATTATATAAGAATGAGCCCAATTTTACAGTTACTAATGGAAGACCACTAACATATTTGAGTACACTATCGATATGCTCCTCATAATCTCTTATAGGAAAATCACATTTGAAAACTTTCCGACAAAATAATTGAACAGCTTCATGTCCAGTCAATAATTTAACCCTATAAATATCATGCATCTTAAAAACCTTAAGGATTCCTTCATCTCTGGTTGTTAAGATGATTCTACTTCCTCCACCTAACAAGCTATCATCTATAGTCTGGATTAATGGTTGTAGCTTTTGGTAAATGTCAACTCCATCAAGAACTATGAGAATACTCTTGCCTTCTGTGTTCATGTCAAATTCAGATACATTGAGTAGGAAATGAGAAGCATCAAAACGGTGAGAGATCCTATCATACAAAACTGTGGCAAGAGTTGTCTTCCCTATCCCACCCATTCCACAAATGGCCACAACTCGAACTGCATCTTTTGTATTAAGGTCTAGAAGCTCTTCTACTTCTTTCACTCGAGATTCCATTCCTACTAGGTCTAAATCAACATACACCAATTGACAGATCTTTTTCGAGACCACTCTGACAAAGTCATCAATAACTTCTGGGCATGGGCTGCAGTAAGAACAAAAACATAAGTAAAAAATTAATCACTAATTGGGTGACTAAATTGAAAGAGTAAAGCTAAAAACCATGACTAATTTTACTCACTTGCATGGTACTAGCCAACTAGAGAGATTGGCTGCTCGTTCCATGGCATACCTCAAATCATGTACCTTGAGTAAAATTTGTTATGAACCTTCGTTCATGTTCACTAAAAGCTTTTTTGAAAGAATTACTCTGGTTTTGTACATCGGATGAATTGACATCATAGACAACTAGGAAAACAGTATATCGCAGTTCCGGAATGCACGCAGCAATCTCAAACAGTTCCTCGAGGCACCATACACAAGAAGCATAGGTTTTGAAGAAGACAACAATGGAAATGTTGGTTTTGTCGAATTGGTTTAGCAAAGTGATGTGGGAGAAAGATGGAATCACCTGGCTCAAGCTTCTTATCGTCCCAAAAGGTATTTAAATTGTCACTTTCAAGAGCAGCCCAAAGATCGACCTTGATGATGATGATGATCCACAAATGACACTCTTCATGTGTTTATACTTTTCAGTCTTGATGATCGGCTGCCTTTTTTAATGAGAAAGCTGGATAGAATGGGGTCGATGTTGCTTGCTAAGCTTTGGGAGATCTTCTGATGGCTCCGCAGATGGCAAAACCCAATAGATAAGAACCTTCAAACGAATAGAAGCAGAGAGAGCTGTTAAGGTGGAATGTTTTGGGAGCTTGCCTTGAAAGAGATACGAACAAGGTTTTGAAGGGCCGACCATTAAAAAGTAATGGATGTGGTTTAAATAAACGGATGTCGTATCTTCGCATTATTTTAAAACTTTTTATCGGTAGTTTTGCACTCAAGTGAAAGCACATTTATGATTCATGAGTAGACTCTTAATCTTTTTTAAAATGGAAGTCAAAATGATATCAAAAGAGGATAAGCTTACATAATCCCTTCATAATATGAACAAACATACACTAAAAAAAAAAACAGCTTATTACTGATGAAAAATTATTGTATCGCTAATTTCCGATGAATTATCAACAAAAATTCTGTTACTAAATTTAGCAATGGATTTTCTGTTCATCACTAAATTCTGTCACTAATCCGTCAAAAATTCAATCAGTAAATATTTAATGACTGAATTAGCAATGGAATTTTTTCCTTCGAAAATTTCTGTGGCTAATTCCGTCACTAATTTTAATTATAAATTTTTAATGATGGAATTAGTAACAAAAATTTTGTTGCTAATTTACATCACTGAGTTGTTTGTCATGCAAGTTTTTATTACTGATTTTCCCGCTAAGTCTATTCTATCGTAATTCTGTCACTAGCCTGTCACTAATTTTAAATTTTATTATTTTATATTATAATCTTACAACAATTTATATAATAACATAATTAAAAATATAATGATTTAAGTATATTTTTAATTACAAAATAAATTAATATATTTGTGGAATTGGTGTTAATAGAGGTATCATCATCATTAAATGCATACAGAGAATAGGAAGACAATTTCTTAGAAAACTTGTTTATATTTCATTAAAATCAATTCCTCTTGATTATTAATAATAATTAAAAATATAATAAGAATATCAATAACTTTCTTATACAAACTTATATAAGAAAGAAATATTTTTATCATATGTATAATATATTGAAAGACGTAATATATGGTAGAAATTCAAAATTAAAAAATGAATTTATATGAACACATCAATTTATGATTATAAATCAAACTAATATTGAAGTGAATTTTGAATTTCAATCATTAAACAATGAAAATTAATCGTGATAAATTCATAACTATGATATAAATTGATTTTAATTTGGTTTTCAATGCAAAAAAATAGTATATACAAAGAATTTTACGAAAATGAATTATATAGGATACATATGTAAGTAGAAGAATGTTGTTTATCATAATCTATTCAAATAATTTAATTTTTTAAAGAATAATTTGTTTGATTTTATTATAGTAGCTATTTTTTGAATAACAAGATTTTTTTTTCTAATTATAAATGGTTTTCATCAAATATATAAAACACATATAGATAATATAATATAATGTAATATAATATATAGAAGTAAAGTATATACCTTATCAATATTAATTAAAAATAAATTTAAAAAACGCATTTATGAAAAAATTATTTATGATTTAAAATTCAAAATTCATGTAATTGGAAATTAAAATTATACTAAAAATATTTTTAAAAAAATAATTTTTTTAAAAATAAAGCATTATAAAATAAATAGTAAAAAATATTTAAAATTATTTTGTCATGAAAATAGTTATGATTAAAATTATCATATAGTTTATTTCTAGTTTTTAATAATAAGGTTCACTGCAACTCAACTGGTAAAGCCAAACGTAAGCACAGACAAGGTCTCGGATTTGAGCCATGGATAAATCACTCTGAGGAGGAATTATGTGGTGAAGATATGTGGTGGCACATGGTGGCATGTGAGAGGGCGACACATGGAGGTGGTCGGCAGTCATCACCGGCAATGAGGTGGCAATTAGTGGAGGCACTACATGGTATTTTAATTTATTTTTTCAAAAATTGTATTAGCAACAGAAAAATTCCATCGTTATTCTGTTACTAATCTGTTGCTAATTCTATTCCTAAATAAAAATTCTGTCACTAAATTACGTCACTAATCACATGTTTTTTTAGTGATAATTAGTACTAATGAAATAAAAAAGGGAATAAGGCGTCAAAGAAGAGAAAAAATTAGAAAATTAAGTGCGCTTTGATTTGTTCTATTCAAGAGAGATGGTTTCTATCTTAAGAACCCTTTTTCCACTTCTAGAAATGCGCAAAAACCTCAACGGTCTTAAAAAAAACCCACTTTAATCTAAGCAAGCTCAATCCAGTTAGGTTGAGAAAAATTTGCCCAAAGCAAGCTAAGACAAGACCAGACCAAACCAAACTAGCCTCATCAGGGTAGATTGGACAGGGGACCGAGTCCTCATACCAATTGTTCTAGTTTAGTTTGGCTTGAGTTTACTTTTTTTTTTTTTTTCATTTTCAACTATTATTTATGTAACTTTAATTTTTTTAATTCTTATATATAAGCTTTTTGCCAATTCAAATAACGGACATTTATCTCTTTATTTTCTAAGTAATGAGCATGTATATGTATTTTCTTCACTGTAAATCCTAAATTGATGAGGATTAAAAAAAAATCAAACATAACATTATAAAGAAATTGAACTGAAAGGGAATGATCAAATTTGATGAAGCTTGGATCAAAACAACTGCTGACTTTTATTTTCAATAATTATTTTCTTAATTGATTAGTACTTTCTACCTTCATTGATTGTTTTCTTGATTGATTAATACTTGTGTTTTATCTCTGTGTAGTCTATATAGATAACAAGAAAACTTCCGGTGTTGATCTTAGTCTTCTCCTTTTATTGATATGAATTTTACATTGTCTTCATTAGGATTATTATTAGGTTGAAATCTTGTCTCCATTAAGGGGAAGAAAATCAAACTAAGGTCCTACATTGCCTGAACTAATTAGGCAGTCTGCTGGTGAATCAAATCTAGTCTAATCCAACCTTGGGTAAATACTGGATTAGATTAGACCTCGAGTTTTCTTGTTCAACTCAAGGTCTTCACCAGAACAAACCTCAAAGTTAATAGCTAACCCTGCCTGATTTGTTCCACAAGCACAAGCTTTAGAGACAGTTTCCTACACTACAAACTTTCAGCCGCGACTTTTATACTTTCAGTGGTGACTTTTTGTCGCCGCTGAAAGTTAATTTTTTTGTAGTGCTAGAAGTTTCCATGTTAACAAGACTTTTTTTTTTGCCCCAATTATTTATTATTTTATTGGCCCTTGTTTATTTCTTTCTTGGATAGTGTTCGAGTGGTACAAAAAGATCATTTGGACAGATTCAGCAGAAACACTGAAACACCTCAGGAATAATTTTAAAAAATAGTCAAAATGTAACTTTATGAAGACCCATGCGTGCATGGTGGCACATATTTAATTATTTAACAGGATTGATAGAGCCGGGGTATCAATTGTTAAGAATCTAACCTACTACTTATAATTATTTTTGAAGACACTAAATGTTAAGATTATGTCAAATGAGAATTGATTGTTTTGGAAATTAAATCCTGGTTGATTGAGATCATTGCCTTCCATTGCGGAATCAAGGAACAACCAATAATGGATGATGACAAAGAGAAATATTTAGTCGGTGGAACGTTAAGCCAAACTAAAAAGGAGTTTAATTGCTCTAAGACGCGTGTGGAAAATTAAGTGAGACAAGATTTGCAAAATCTAGGAAGCGCCTTTTTAATGTCCAAATATTTCATGTGCTATAAAAAGGATGAAATTTGAATTCTGAACGTACAAGTAGAGAAGAACAGATTACAAGGTGTTATTTAAACTTAAACCAATACTATTTTACAGTTATAAACTGTCAAATAAGTGATCATATATTTGACAGTTTTTACGAAGTAACCAACAATTAATTGACTAATATTTTTCGCTTTTTACTAACTAATCGTAGGGTATTCACGTATATCCTTTTTTTTTTAAAAAAAAAGGGACAACTCTGGCATTAAAAATATAAATATATAATAAACTAAAATCTAATTCTTATCAAAACTCAAATTAACCAAAATCCAGACATACAACAAAATGGGTAATTATGGGTACGGTTAATATTAGAAAAATGGGCAAGAAATTAATAAAATGGATTAAAAAATGGAAACTTGGGAATGGCTTTTTGTGAACAAAAGCCGATGGAGGAAACTTTGCCCCACGTCAATTGCTCTTCTGCAACTTTGCTGTTTGGTGCCCATTTCAGGCATACAACTGCAATATTTATTTTGGTGTTGAAAATAGTGTAGTGTTGTGTTATGTCAAATAAAGGCCAACGTTGCCTTTGTGAGAAGTGGACCAAGAGTGTATAAGATAACATATGATTATAAAAGAGTAAATAACGGGCTTAGAGCCAGTTCCACATCCCGCCCATAACAATGGGCTAGGAGGGAAACACGGTTGAAACTGCGGAGTGAGCACCTTTTACAGTTTTTATGAAAAACCAAAATATATTTGTAGTACAAATAAGGAAAAATGACAAATAAAGACTCCTAAATTATGAAAATTACAAGGAGGTCACCTAAATAAGTAAAATTATCATGAAGGACCCGGCCTCATATTGTAAATGTGAAATATTGGCAAAATGTTTTAAATGCCCCTTAGCCAAGTTGTGATTTGGTCCACTGAAGTTATCATTCACTAAAGTGAATTTATTATTTCTCATAGTCAACTTGTCATTTGGCAAATATGAAATCTTGACAAAATGTTTGAAATGCCCTTTAGTCAAGTTGTGATTTGGTCTACTGAAATTGTCATTCGCTAAAGGGAATTTGTTATTTCCCATAGTTAACTTGTTATTTGGCATACCTTCAGCCAAGTTCTGATTTGGTCTACTGAAGTTGTCATTCGCTAAAATGAACTTGTTATTTTCTATAGTCAACGTGTCGTTTAGCTTAGGGGTATTTTGGACATTTTACCAAGATTTCATATTTGCAATATGGAACTGGGTCTGTCATGGTGATTTTGCTTATTCAGGTGATCTCCTTATAATTTTGATAATTCAGGGGTCTTTATTTGTCATTTTTCCTATAAATAATATTTAAGTTAACCAAAAAAAAAAGTTAACCTTCAAACCTTATTTTTTTAAAACTAGGTTTAAAGTTGGATTGTCAGAACATGCTTGTAAAAGAGTGCTCCCACAATTTCCATCTGCAAATACCTTTTAGGCTTGCTCTTTCGTCTTTTAAAAATTTCTGAGCTTAGGATTTATTTAATCTTCTGCAGTGCTGCTGCTTCCCGAATTATAGAGAAATTGCGGAATATCTTTTAAATACAACTTGAACCATCTGATTTTTAATGTTGCTGCCGACAATTGGACATACACATGCGTAAATTCATAATGTTTATATATGTGTTTGTATATATAAATACAGCGTCCTCAAAAGTTGGTGTTGCTGCGCGAGTCTTTGATGGTACCAAACGCTGAGGATCTCATAAAACTTAAAATACTATTCAGCTTTAGATATCCATTTGAGCGCCTTTTTCAACTGTTCTGCTGGTTGCTTAAATGAGAGAAGATTCACGTGGTGGAAATATCAAAGATTTTTAAAATATTTTCTTCAGCTCACACAATCGGAGAAAGCATATTTTTACTTTGATGTCTGTATATGGTAGAAGAGGGCGGGGTTGGGGGGGGGGGGGATTGGTCACTGATAAACAGGGATTTTTTTAAAAAAAAGTGAGAATAGTTTGAAAAACGTTTAAAGATTGTACCTAAGATTTCTATATTACACTTGATAATAAAATAAGTTTGGAAAATAATGAATGGCAGTTCATGAATGTGCACAGCAATATGAGGGCACCGGGATGGGGGTGTCAGCTGTGCCCTCCTAACTGTGCGCCCAGCTGTGCTTTATCTTTGGGATCCTTTTCAAATGTTTTTTTTTTTTTGGTCGTGTCTTTGTGCTGTATGCATGAGTGTTCCAGATATCGAAAGAATTTGTCATCGGTTGTTCAGGTTAATAAAATCTAATCTTTCATTTCTTTATCAACCACACTCTAGTTTATATATGGAATATTAAATATAAACAAATTATAGAAACGAAATATGAGGGGAGTTGAGGAAGTAAGAGAGAGAAGAGAGAGAGAGAGAGAGGGATAACAGAAAAATGATAACCAAATAATGATACGACATTTGTGAGTATTAAATAATAGTACATAGCTTCTGTGTTCAAGAAAAATGACTACTGAGTACTTTCACCAAGCTCCTCAAGCTTGGAAAAGTTCAGACAATGAGCAAACTGGGAAAAGCAAGCCAAATTTAGAATCTCTAAGGAGCGTAGAGAAAACAACATGTTGGGAATACTGACAAGATTGGTGCAATTTCTCAAGTTAAAGAATTTGAGCCTTGAGAGACAAATTCTGTCAGTAAATGAATCAAGCTGTGATAACTGAACACATCCTTCAAGGTTTAGCCTCTTAGGCCGTGGAAGTCCATTTAAATTTGGCCCTTTGGTTAGATTTTTGGAGCCACTAAGATCGATGTTTGACAGACAATATAAAAGCTGTGGATAAAGAGACAAAATCCGTAGGTTAAAAGGGCGCGCGTTGCACAATTAATATTACCTTTTGAAATTTCCAGGGCTGGGTAGCCGTTAGTACTAGTAAAGTGGAGAAATGTAATTGAAAATGATGTAAGAAGGCTAAAAAATTCACAAACAAACAATTAGCACAAATATATACGTACATGAATAAAAATAGAAATATATAACTTATTAATATATATATATATAAGAAACCATATATATATTTTTCATTTCGTTAGTTGATATAAATATTTTGGTTATTGCTCATAAAGGAGTTGTTCCCATTTACTTGTGATGCAAGTATCATGCCGCTTTTTCATCCCGTATGCTTGTGATGCAGCTATCAGTCAAAATCAATTCCTTAAGGCTGTATGGTCGAAATTTATATGGCAATGAAGCAAAAGGATATTGGTGCCATGAAATATACCGGAGTTGCGATGAAAGGTGATGTAAGACCCCTGAAAATTTCACATTGCGAAGTATGAGTACTCTCAGATTTTTCATGTGTGATAAACCTTCAACCCTCAATATAGTTTCTTGTGAATCTTATAGCTCGAGAACTATTGCTTTAACCTTTAGAGCCGCCTGAAAATGAACACATTTATATAAAAGCAATGCAAGTAAGATTACTTAGTATACTATATATTAATGTTTCAACCAAACAAGAAATGTTAAAGGAAAGAAAAACAACTTACTGTGTCACGTTGCACAACACTATAAACATCAGCAAAATCCCATAATCTACTCCATTCTTCTGGCTTGGAAGGGAATTGATTCTGAACAATTTCTCTTCCCATTTGCAGTAAACCATGCATTTGTATTTTTTGATCTATAATGGTGATGAGTGACTTTTCATCCAAAAGTTGAATTCCATTGTCCTTAACCAAATCGCAAGACCGTAAGACTCCTTTTACAAATTTGATCTCCTTCCCTATGAAAAAACATGCAATGTCTAGAAAGGCTTCTGCGTGCTTATTATCCAAATCATCAAAACTTTGTTTGAGTACTTTAGTTAACGACGGCTTAGCCAATATTTTGAATTGAACCAAGGCATTACTCCAATCTGAGGGTTTTATGTTAAACAAGAATGAGCCCAGCATAACAATTGCCAATGGATGGCCATTAGTATATTGGAGTACACTATCTACTTGCTCCTCATAAACTCTTGCTGGGAAACCACATTTGAAAGCTTTCCTACAAACTAACTGAAGAGCTTCGTTCTTGGTCAATATGATGATTCTACTCCCTCTACCTAACCAGTTATGCTTATCACATTGAGCACTAATTGTAGATCATAAAATTGATCAACACAATCAAGAACTATGAGAGTTCTCTTGAGATGACTTGGCTTTATGGTCTCATAAAATTCAATTGCTTTAAGTATGAAACAAGAAGCATCGAAATGGCGAGAGATCTTATCATAGAGAACTCTAGCAAGAGTTGTCTTCCCTGCTCCCCCAATACCACAAATACCCACAACTCGAACCCCATCTTTTGATCCAAGATCAAGAAGCTTTTCTACTTCTCTCACTCGCGATTTCATTCCTACTAGGTCTGCATCAAGATACACTAATTGACGTACTTTTTTCTTGACCTCTCTAACAATGCCATCGACAACTTGTGGACTTGGGCTGAAGCAAAAACAGAAACAAAAGTACGAATCAATTACAACTAATCACTTATTCATTGACTAAATTAATAGAGAAAAAAAACATGACTAAATTTACTCACTCATATGGTATATTACAGCCAGAGAGATCTGCCTACATCAAGGATCCTCTTTGAGTCCGTACTTGTTCTACATTGTTCTGGATGTTTTAACTGAACCTATTCAAGAAAGAATCCCTAAGTCCATGCTTTTCGCCGATGATATAGTTCTCATAGCAGAATCAAAAAAAGAGATTAACACTAGATTGGAATTATGGAGAAGGACTTTAGAGTCAAAAGGTTTCCGTTTAAGCAGGAACAAAACAGAATATATGCATTGTGATTTTGGGAGGAGGCAAGGCAATGGGGATTTGGAGGTGAAGATGGGGGAGCAAATCATTCCCCAAGTATCAAAGTTTAAATACCTAGGATCCATTATACAGGAGGATGGGGAAATTGATGGAGACGTTTCTCATAGAATACAAACTGGCTGGTTAAAGTGGAGGAAAGCTACCAGAGTTATTTGCGATAAGAAGGTACCTAAGAAACTTAAAGGAAAATTTTATCGGACTGCGATAAAACCAGCTATGTTGTACGGTTGTGAATGTTGGGCAATAAAGGGAAAACAAGAGCACAAAGTCGAGGTAGCAGAAATGAGGATGTTGAGATGGATGTGTGGTCATACAAGAAAAGATAGGATTCGAAATGAAAATATTAAAGCAAGAGTAGGTGTGGCACCTATCCAAGAGAAAATAGTTGAAAATCGCTTAAGATGGTTTGAACATGTGCAGAGAAGGCCATTGGAGGCCCCGGTAAGGAGGGTGGATCAAACAAGATAGAGTCCTATAAAAAGGAATAGAGGAAGACCAAGAAGAACACTTAATAAGGTCATTGAACGAGACCTCCTAGTCAATAACATATCTAAGGATTGGGTTGTTGACAGAACACGATGGCGTCGTGTGATTCATGTAGCCGACCCCATCTAGTGGGATAAGGCTTTTTGTTGTTGTTGTTGTTGTTTCATTGCTCACCTCCATTTGTGTACCTTGCGTAAATTTGCTGTGAACCTCTGTTCATGTTCAGCGAAAGCTTTTTGGAAAGAATTACTCCGGTTTTGTACCTCAAATGGATCTACATCATAGAAAATCGGGAAAACAGTATATTGGGGTTTATGAATGCGTGCAGCGATCTTAGAGAGTTCCTCAAGGCACCATATGGAAGAAGCATGGCTTTTGGAGAAGACAACGATGGAAATGTTAGATTGTCGAATTGCTTTGAGAAAGCGATGTGGAAAAAGGATGGAATCAGCTAGCTCAAGCTTCTTGTCATCCCAAAAGGTGTTTAAATCTTCAGTTTCAAGGGCTAGCCAAGGCATCTCTGTGAATTTGCAAGTTTAATTTCATCATCATCTTTGAAACTTAAATAAACATGGATTGGCCTTGATGATGATGATCCACCGTTGAAACTCTCCATGTGTCTATAAACTTTCAGCCTTGAATATCAGCTGCCTTTCTCAGTGAAATTGAATAGATAAAAGAAAATTGAATAGTAAATGAGCATAATAATCACCACCGAGTTGCCTCCAACGTCCGCTGATCGATTGATTTCAGAAGGTGAAGTGGAAGTGATTCCCCTGTTTCGTTCTTCTCTTCATCACTGCGTTGAAGAAAATTTATGCAAAAGAAATGAAGCTACAATAATAATTCAAGCTAGCCGACCAAAAATAGCACTTTTTTGTGGGAACAAAGCAGAGTGTTGCATCAACTGACTTTTCAATAGTATTCTGATAGGGAATCTAAAGAACTCTGAAAAATTAATTGACTCAAATCTATTGATACTTTCATTTTTGTTGTTAGCCGTATAATTTTTATTTTGCCGAAACCTTATTATATCGTCTGATGGCATCACATTGCAACTCTCAATAAGAACGTTGTAAGATCAAATCTAAAGAATATAAAGTACTAGCTCTGCTTCTAAATATACGAACTAGTTTGTTATACAATTTGCCTATTTTGGTAATTAGTCAATTTTTGGTTTCCACTTAAGATACTTGGCCAATTCGGTTTTGCTTTCTCTTGTCCAATTTTTATTTTGGTTCAGAAAAATATACTGTAAATTTGTTTCTCATTTGGTGGTTGAATTGATATTTTTTGTTGCTTTCTATTTTTATAACATAGGAGGGCTACTAAAAAGGCACCCGTCTTTTTTTTTTTAAGGTAAATAATACTTAACAATTATTGAGAACAACTGTCAGGTATTGGGTATCAAAAGACGATTAATGGGGTTGCAATACTTAACTATTTTATTATTAAAATTGTCAAGTATTCCCACAAATATTTGACGGTTAATAATTGTCATATATTTACTATGCGAATATATGACGCCTATATATTTGATAGTTCATAACTGTCATATATAAATAAAAATAACCGTCAAACATTTGTATTTTTGCAGTACTGGCCAAAAGGTATTCAAATGACAAATTGTTAGTTTGAAGAGCAGTCCATAGCCTATCTATGATTATGCAAGTTTCTTTATCTCCTTTGAAACTTAGATAAACATGGATCGGCCTTGATGACGATGATGCTGCACTAATGAAAATCTCCTCTCTCACTCTCATGATTGGTTGCCTTTCTAATGGGAAAACTGGATAGAGGTGGAGTCACAATTGCTCACTTAGCTTTCGAAGATCAGCGAATGTAAAAGAGCGACAAAGTTAGAGCTCTATGCGAGTGCGCGCACCTTTGGTAAGAATTACTACTAAAAATTAAAAGGTTTGTTAATTTCTTCTTCTTTATTTTGACTATTATGTACGTTGCTTTAGTAACGTTGTTGAATTTTCAAGTGGATAAAAAGTTGACAGACAGAAGACCCAGCTAAGCATGCCCTTTTCATAAGTAGTTCTTGGACATCGTTTCTTTTATTTATTCATTGTTAATATAATCTTTAGTCATTTAAATTTACACTGATTTTATTTTTGATCTCTCAAAATTTTAAGTCATAAATTTTAGTTCTTCAAGGAGTAAAATAGTTCAAATTTTTAATAAATTATAGGAATTAATGTTTTAGAAGGAAAGAAACTTGAAGAACCGAAATCTGTGATTTGAAACTTAAAGGATCAAAGTCAGAATAAAAATAAACTCATGAGATTAAAAATTATATTAACCCGTTCATTTATTATTTTCATAGAATACGAGCTCAGATTGTTTTTTTTTTTTTTTTGGGTGATTGTTTAGCTATTTTAACAGATGACCTAACATTATAAGTGGGATCAAATTCGTGATCTCTTATTTACATATTAGCATTTAAATCCCCAGGTTACAATACCATACCGTTGCTGGAATTCGGACCTAAAAGCACCGATTTAATCATGTAGTCACTAGATTGTGTTAATAATTGGTCAACAGTTATTTGAAATTCTTTATAATTTGCCTATTGAGAATTTGAGACTTGAAAATTTTGATTAAGAAAAACTAATTACTGTCCAAAGCTTTTTTTCTTTTAATTTTTTTAGTGAGACAAGATTTTGAAGATTTTTTACGGCTCTGTGAATTATAAAAGACGTGCGTACACGGATCAAAGAGGAAGCATAAAATGAAAAAGAAAAGAGGTTGCCAAGGAGGACATGCCTCAGGGCCTGCCTTGAAAAAGATCCTAATTAAAGAGGAGTTTCTATGTCTTTATAATTTCTTTGAGCAAAGTGGGATGCAAAGTAAAGTGTTTCTTATTCTTTTTTTTCCCTTTATGAAAAGGCAAAATGATACTAAATAATAAAGTGCCTTTTATTTACCTTTAAATATAAATAAATAAATGAAAAATTAAACAAAAATGCCTCTTTATGATATGTTCGTCCTCTTTCCCATTGATGGATCAAGCTGTGATAATTTAGTGCATCCTTCAAGCTCTAGCCTCTCAAAATATAGAAATTTGGCATTTTCGTTAAAACTCTGGACCCATAAAGATTCATGCTTCTCAATCAAAAGAAAATTTGTCAATGGAAAATAGTGTACCGAACAATTAGCTAAACAATATCTATAAGTTAGAAGGGCTTGCGCACACATACTTATCATTAGGCAAAATCAATTCCCAAAGACAATAGGGTCTAAAAATTGAAGGCAAAGAAGTGAAAGGATATTGGTGCCGGGAAATATATTGGAGCAATGCTGAAAGAAATGACACTAGAAAAATACATGTTTTTGGGTAGGAAAATAGAGGCATTGGATGAATTGGAGCAAAACAGAGCAAAGCATAGTGTCCTGGCTTGGACAGAATATCAAAAGGACGAGACTATTTACGATAAACCAAACTCCCCCTTAACACTTTTGTTAATTTGGTATGCTGCTGCTTCGTTTGAAAAGAAGATAAAAAGTTGATAAAGATGAGACACAGCGTACGTAGGCCCCTTTCTTCATTGCATGTTGACGTTTTCCTATCTCTTACCAGCTTGGATTCTGCAATCTAATTTGAAGGTTTTTAATAAAACTATCTGCAATCTTGCTTTAGATTCTTTAGATGATTCTCAGGATTTTGCAACGTGCCCTCAATATTTATTGAATTTTTCTGAGCTTTCAAAACATAGCCTTAGGGTCACACTTTTTCATGGAAATTTGTTTACGTATTCATATATATGCAAGGTGTTTTTCTATGGAAAAAAACACACTTTAATAAGAATGCCTCAGTTTTTTTAATGAAAAAATGGTTATCATATAATCATTCGCATGCAGGGAAATAGTATAATAATGATTTTAAATATCCGCAATAAATAAATTAGAATAATTTAATTATTGATAAAACTTGGTTATACAGATCCATTAAAATAATTTTGAATTTTATTGTTGAATGAAGAAAAACTTCTAATTATAAAAAGTAATATTCATCGAAGCAGTGCGATTTGCCGTAAAAGATGAGAGAGAGCCACTTTTATGGAGGGGTAGTCAAAGAAAGTCCTGTGCAGCTTTTTGAATGCCACGTCACATATATATTAATTCTTAATATAAAACTCATTTAACTAATTTGATTAGATTAAGGAAGTTAGGCAAGTTAGTTAATTATAATAAATATAACACGTTTTTTCTAAAATACTATAATTATCTTTTTAATACCCCTCTTCCTCTTTTACTTGATTATGGTTGACGGAGTATCCTATAATTTTGAAAAAATCGATAAATATGAAAAATGAGTCTTATATTTAGGACTAAAACCATAAAAAAATAAATGAAAAATATAGGAAAAATCACAAAAAAAAAAGTCAAAATAAAAAAATTATAAACAAGGACCCATAACAATATGACTATGAATAGTATGGATTTGATAACAATTTTATAACTGGGTTCTTGTATGTAATTTTATTTATTTTAGTATTCTTTTTTTGTGATTTTCCCAAAATATATCCCATTGGGCTTCCTAGATGAACAGGACAACACTGCCAGATGTTGAAGCCCAAGTTACACTAGCAAGTACAAACGAAACCCAAACCAAACAAGGGAAATACTGGGACTCTTAACACATAGCCCCAAACAAAGCGGTAAAGCCACACATGAAACGCAGTGCGAACCCCTTATATAGGGCGTATTTGGATTCCCAATCGGTAAGTGTGTCTATACTTATCTCTATCGTGTTTCATAAATCATAATTAAAAAATTATTTATAAATTACTTATATATCATTCTAAACAAACCTTTAAATGTGTTGGAAATCGGTTTGGGACCAAAACTTATTCCCTTTTGGACCATCTAAATCAAATATAAAATTTTTAATTAATTATTTTTAAATAAAAATAGTTTTTAAAAAGTTTACTTTAGAGTCTACGTCCATTAAAATAATTATTTTAAAAAAATTAAAAAAAAACCTAGACCGTACAAATCAGATTTAAATAATACAAAAGGAACAAGCTTTGATTGCTCATTTAGGACTTGTTTGGATTGACTTATAAGTAGTTTTTTTAAATATGATTTACGGAATATGAGATAAATATGTAAAGAGAGTTTTGTCTCAATTTACGTAAATTTACTAAACAGTCTGTTTTGAACGGAGCTCTAAACAAGCTAAAAGATAAGAACCCAAACCGCTTTCAGTTATTTTCTCTCTTTGTTTCCCTTGTTATCATCTGCCTCCCAGTGGCGATCGATCGGTGTCGGCGGCACTATTCTCAGTGCCCAGCCTCAAGCCCATCATGGACGGCGGCTGCCCTCAGCTCCATGCCAGTACTCTTGTTTTGCTTCTTGCCACCACTCTTCAATCTCCATCCTTCTACCTTGAAGAATGGACCTCCCTCCGTTTATGGATTAAATTAAGTATTGAAATTTATGACAATAAAGGCGTTTCACCTGTTATGTAAGAAAACCAATTGATTCATGTAGAATAAAGATGAAAGCTGCTTTTCGTTTTATAGTAAAACTTTTGCAATGAAAATAAATCACAGAACAAACATATTATTTTTTTAACAAATAATGTTTTTGTTAAATATAAATAAATTGTTGTGTGTGTGTGTGTGTAATATCGCTGTGTCCATGTCTAAACGACTTTTCACCGTTTCTGTAACGTTCAGTGTTGGAACTGAAAACAATTTCGAATTTATTTATCTTTATATGTATATTTTTGGGGAAAAACATAATATGCTTGAGTATAATATGATTTTAATAAAAATATCCTCAACACAAAATTAAAAATTAAAAAACATATTAAAGTGTATTAAGCTGAAGTAATCTTTTATTGTTGCTATTAAATCATCAGTAGTGGCACTGATTGTATGATAAAATGGCCACTAATCTATTAATATGATATCAAAATACGCCTAACTCGATAAATCTTGAACTAATTGTTAATGTTAATAAACATTTATATATGCCTCATTATTTTCACGAGCAACCCTCAATCATTATCAATGTAATAGGCTAATGGCATCGCATCATCATAACATTCATTAGTAGGCGAGAAAGTTGGTACGTGTGAGAAACAAACATGATTAATAAATTAAATGTGGCATATACACTTAAATATATTTTTGTCTCTATAGCTTCTTTCTCTTGCAAGGAGGAAGTGATTGCTGAATACTTTCTGTTTCACCAAGCTCCGCAAGATCAAAACAATGAAACTTTAAACAATTGGCAAATTTGGAGCAACCAGCCAAATTTAACATTTCTAAAGAGGGCAAAGAAAATAAAGCATTGGGAATACTAACAAGATTACTACAATTTCTCAAATTTAAGAAGTTGAGCCTCCAACGAGAAGCAATTGATGGATCAAGGTATGATAATTTAGAGCATCCTTCAAGCTCTAGCCTCTCAAGTTTTGGAAGGGATAGAAAATTTGGCAGCTTTATTAAATCTTTGGAGCCACTAAGATTCATTTTCCTCAAGCGAGAGAATTTCTGTGGATAAAAAAAGTGTAGCAGACAATTAGTAAAACAACATCGACACGTTAGAAGGGCGTAGGCACAGTTAACATTACCTTCCATTCATCTATCAATTTAGCTGGTGCTGTTTCTTCATCCCATATACTTGTTATGCAACTATTAAGCAAAATCAATTCCTTGAGATTTTCGGGTTCAAATCTTGATGGCAAAGAAGTGAATGGAAATTGATACCACGAAATATATCTGAGCTCCCTTGAAAGATCCTTTAGAACTCCAGAAAATTTCACGTTACGAAATATGAGTAATTTAAGATTTCTCATACATGATAAACCGTCGACCCTCAATTTACGCCCTTGTGAATCTTCTAGTTCCAGGACTATTGCCTTTGCTTTAGTGAACTGATAATAAACACATTTATGCAAAAATAATGCAAAGTCAAGTCACTTAAAGTATATATTAATGTCTCAACCAAGAAAAATGTTATAAAAACTTACTTTGTCATTTTGCATAACACCATAAATATCTTCAAAATCCCATAATCTACTCCACTCCTCTGGCTTATGAGGAAATTCATGTCGAACAACTTCTTTTCCCATTTCTTGCAATAAACTATGCATTTGAATTTTTTGATCCATAACGACCATGAGTGATTTTTCAATCAAAACTTGTATATATGGTTGGAATCCATTAAAACAATATCTATAGATACTATCCAAAATTCCTGCTACAAATTTAATCTCCTTCCCTGTGAAAAAACATGCCATATCTAAAAATATTTCCTTACACCTGCCGCCCAATTCATCAAAACTCTTTTTGAGGACCTTCGTTATCATAGAATTGACAACCTTTTTGGATTCAACCATGGCACTGCTCCATTCAGAAGCTCCTCTATTATATAAGAATTGGCCCAGTACTACAATCGCCAATGGAAGACCACTAGCATATTGGAGCACGCTATCTATTTGCTCCTCATAACCTCTCATTGGAAAATCACATCTGAAAGCTTTTCTACAAAATAATAGAAGTTAACCCTATAAATATCATGCTTTTCAAACATCTTAAGCACTCCTTCATCTCTAGTTGTTATGATGATTCTACTCCCTCCTCCTAATAGGTTTTCTCTTACGGCAATGATCAGTGATCGTAGAATATCACCAATACCAACAACATCGAGAACTAAGAGAGTTCTCTTGTAATTTCCTAGCATTGTGTTCTGATTAAATTCAATTGCGTTGAGTACCAAATAAGAAGCATCAAAATGGTGAGAGATCCTATCATGGAGAACTTTCGTAAGAGTTGTCTTCCCTGCTCCACCCATACCACAAATGCCCACAACCCGAATGTCATCTTTTGAACCCAAATCAAGAAGCTCTTCTACTTCTCTCACTCGAGATCGCATCCCTACCAGATCAACATCAGCATAGACTAATTCACGCATTTTTTTCTTGACCTCCCTAATGATGTCATCAACAACTTGTGGCTCTGGCCTGAATAAATGATAAACAAAATTAAACCACCAAATTAATCACCTAGTCTATACATTATTTCACTAACTGATCGACGGTTGCTTGAATGTAACTATAATTTGCCTATTGAGACCTGAAAGTTGTATGATCACGGAAAAAGGCAAGATTAAATTACTCACTCGATTGGAACCTCCCAACCAGAGAGATTGGCCACTTGTTTTATTGCTAACCTCCAACTGTGTACCTTGCGCAAATTTGCTGTGAACCTTTGTTCATGTTCAGCAAAGGCTTTTTCGAAAGAGTTACTCTGGCTTTGAACTACGGATGGATCTACATCACAGAAAATTGGAAATACAGTATATCGCGGTTCATGAATGCGTGCAGCGATCTCAGAGAGTTCTTCAAGGCACCACATAGAAGCAGCATAGTTTTTGGAGAAGACAATGATGGAAATGTTGGATTGTCTAATTGCTTTAAAAAAGTGACGAGGAAGAAAGGAGGAGTCACTTGGGTCAAGCATCTTGTCATCCCAAAAGGTATTCAAATCATTACTTTCAAGAGCAGCCCAAAGCCTGTCCGTAAATCTGCAAGTTTCATTATCTCCTCTGAAACTTAGATAAACATGAATTGGCCTTGAAGATGATAATGATCCACTAATGAAACTCTCTCCCATCACTCTCGTGGTCAGTCGCCTTTCTCAATGGGAAAGCTGGATAGCCTGGAGTCACACTTGCTCACTTAGCTTTTGAAGCTGAGCGCGAATGCAAGGAACCAAAAAAATAAGAACCCTTAAATGAAATGAAGAAGAGAAGGTTGTAAAAGGAGGAAATTTCTGGGATTTTTCCCTGAAAGAGATCCGAAGGAGCAATCTTCCTGTCCTTAGTATAATACTTATTTTGTAGTACAATTTACACTATAAAGTAAGTATTATATTAAGGACATGAGAAGTATTTCTTAAGGATTTTTTTTAATTAATTCATTCTTTTTGTATGGAGTACTTGTTCAGTTTAATTGGACTGTCTATAGCCACTGGGCTGCTTATAATTCTTGAAAAAAATTAGGCTAAAATACCTTTAAAAATAAACAAATAAAAAAAATGCCTCTTTCCAAGCAACTTCGTCCCGTAACGCGTGCTTTTTCAAGTCCGCGTAACCAAAGGAATAAAGACAATAATTACTCACATGATGCCACATTTCACACTATTATGTCATTTAATGGAAATGAAGTTTTCCACAAATTTCAAAACATAGGCCAAGGTCATCATTGAAATTAAAATTTTTCTAGGCTAATTTTTTATTACTAAAGTATTATTATTTATCCATAACTTATCAAATATTAGAAAATTGACCTATTCTGTTTTTATTTTTCTTAAATTAATCATGATTGTTCAAAGTTTATTAAAGGATTGCTAAATGAATGTTAACACTAATAAAATTAAATTTAAGGTTTCAAGATTTTAATGATCCTATAAATTGAAATGGATTAAACTAAAGTGGTTCTAAAAACTGTCTTTATTGCTCTTAATATTAAAGAGAGAAAGTTATTAAATCAATTAAACACCATTGCGAAGATTTGTCACTCTCCCTTGTGAGAGTTTTCTCTCTCTCCTAAAGTGGGAGTTAGTTACGACGGTTTCTTCACGTCGTTTTTGCCTGAGTGCTTCCCTTCGCCGCCCACTGCGACGGAGGCAAAAAGAGTGCCCCCTCGTCCTTGCTCATTGCATCGACGGGGATTGTGAGGTCTATCCTGTTTCTGGAGTTAGGTAGAATGGAGGTTGGAAGTTCAGGGGAAGGTTCAAGCGGAAGGAATGCAGATCGGAAGGCCGATGATATGACAACGAATCTAGTTTGGAAAAAGCAAGAACAACGTAAGTTGAATGGAGGCGCACTAGTCGGTAAACTAATCACTATGAAATCTTTAAATCGTCAAATTACGATTCAGATGATCAAGAAAGGATGGAATCTAGAGAGGAAAGAAGATTTGGAGGTGATTGAGGTGGAACGAAATGCTTTTATCTTTGAATTTCGAAGAAGCAAGGATTGATTGAGAATCTTGAGAGGCAGGCCTTGGTCAATTCAAGGCGTCTTGCTGAATATACAACCATGGCAGGAGTATATGGCCTTTAAGGAGGTTGATTTTAATTACTATCCGTTTTGGATTCAATTCCACGATCTACCCTCAGCAGGAATGGATATAGAAAATGCTGTGACGCTAGGATCTATGATTGGGAAGGTAATGATGGTAGAGGATCCGAGACATAATGATTTGTTGATTAGAAGTTTTTTACGAGTAAGAGTTCTGGTTGATTTGCAAAAGCCTTTAATAACTGGAATGTGGACTCCTCGACCTGATAATGATCCTATATGGATTAAAGCTAGATATGAAAGACTGTAGAACTATTGTTATAAATGTGGCAGAATTGGTCATGACCAAAGGAGCTGTTTGGTGGATAGAGATCAGGAGGAGGATGCTGATAGAGGATATGGAGGATGGTTGGGAGTGCAAGCATCAAGGATGATTGATGATGCTATTAAGTGTTGGGAGGAAGGCTGGGAGGAATTTGCAATGATGGACAAAGTTAATCTGTCCCAAGCCAAGAAAGTAGTACGTTTGAAGAATGTGGAGGATAAGGAAGGGAATGGTAGTTCGAAACTTGATGAAAATAAAGAGAATATGAATGCTAATCTTCCTGTAAAAGATGATGTTGCTGTTAATAAGAATAACAGTAGTGAAGGTAATAAGCCTCAAGCTAACTGCAGGAGGCAAACTATGGTCGGGGAAACTATGAAAAGCAGGGCAGAGAAGACTAGTGGTAAAGGGACTGAATCGGAAGGTGCAAGGAAAATGGAGAATGTTATTTCTCCAAAGAAAAGAGAAGATTTATCTAAAGCAATAGTGGTTTATGGTACGATTTCACCTATGAGTGAAGTTACTGCTGGTCTAAAGAAGGTAAGATTGAAGAGAAATTTGGAAGAGGTGGAAGATAGTGTGAGTTCTAAAAGAAGGAAGTTATTTTTTGAAGAACCTATTGTAAACAGTGAAAAGGAGAAAAAGACACCATTGAGGAGAGGAAGCCGCAGGAGTGTTCAAAATCTGAAGAAACAAATAAGAAGGGGAGCTGGTAGAGGTCGTTTGGTAGGGAAAGGGAATGCAGATTGTAATGTGGTAAATTTGGCTTGAGATGACCTGATAAATTTGATGACTGGAGGTATTGGTGGCTGGCCTCAAACAGCCATCAAGGAGCCATGAAGATGATTGCTTGGAACTGTCAAGGTCTGGGAAGAACCTTCACAGTCAAGAAGTTGAGGGAGGAGTGTTTAAAGAACAAACCCTCTATAATCTTCCTAATGGAAACAAAAATAAAAGGGGAGAAAGTAAGCAGAATTAGAAGGTTGTGTCAGATGCAAGAGGAATTTTATGTTGATCCAAGGGGAAGGGGAGTTGGCTTGGCGTTATGGTGGAAATAAGATGTGATAGTGAATATATGGTTTAGTTTGAGAAACTTGATCCATGTTTCCTTAGAATCTGATTCTTTTACTGTACCAAATTATGTGACCTTTGTGTATAGGGCACCAGTTAATGATGAGAAGATGTTGGTATGGAATGAAATGAGAAGATTGGGAAGTGGAGTTAGAGGGTCTTGGCTGTGTTTAGGGGATTTTAACGATGTGATTTCAGAAGAAGATAAGTGGGGCAATCTACCAATTGAAATAGGAAGGGCAATAAACTTTCAATGATGTTGGCAGATTGTCATTTCGTAAATTTGGGTTTTAAAGGTGCTAGGTACACTTGGTGCAACAAAAGGCTTGGGGCTGCACATGTGAAAGAAAGATTGGATCAGGCAGTAGCCAATGTGGAGTTTAGAGAGGAATTTCACAATGCTACTGTAATCCATATAGAACCTGTGGGGCCGGACCATCATATGTTGCTGATGGTTGTGATTTTCAGCATTCAAAGGTACCCAAAATGTTTAGATTTGAAGCTTTTTGGGCTGAACATACTGATTTTCTGAGTGTGGTTAAACAAGGTTGGAAACAGTCTGGAGTAAATGGTAATAAGGTGGATGATTTAATTGATAGACTTGATGAATGCAGAAAGGTTCTTTTGAAATGGAGTAGGGTGACATTTCCTAATGCAAGGAAACAAGTTGAACAGCTGACACAGAAATTGAAAGAGTGCACATTGGGTAGTTTGAATGAGCAAAGCAGAGCAGAAGCTAAAAGTTTAATTCAGCAAATTGAAGAAGCTTGGGATAGGGAAGAGAAGTATTGGTGGCAGAGATCTAGAGTGAATTGGCTGCAAGATGGAGACAGAAACATGAAGTTCTTTCATTCAAGCACCATTCAAAGAAGGATAAAGAATAAAGTCACAGAGTTGAAAAGTGATGATGGTAGATGGCTACAGGAAGAAAATGAGGTGAACGATGCTTTCCTGAAATTCTATTCTTCCTTGTTTTCCTCTACTGGCTATAAAAACATGCAGGTGGCTTTATTCTTTGTCAAAAATTCTGTGTTGGCTGAGGATAATGAGAGGCTGGAAGGAAGGGTATCATTCGATGAGATCAAGATGGCAGCATTCCAACTAAATGGTGCAAAGGCCCCACGTCCAGATGGTTACTCTGGTATGTTTTATCAATCTACATGGAACATTTATTGTTTTTATGTCCTTCGGCAAAACAGGTTTGGTTTGGCTCTCCATTGAGTTTGAGGTTTGAGGAGGGACGAATGTATAGGTTGGATAAATGGTTAGGTGACTGGTTGGATTGCAAGGAAAAACCAGATGCCTACGGTTTAGCTCTTTTTGCCACAATTTGCTGGGAAATATGGAAGTCTAGGTGCCAGTGTGTTTTTGAAAAGAGAGAGGAGAAGCCTCTGGAGGCATGGTTGCAAGAAATGATGAAGGTAGCTTTGTTGGTGGTTTTGGGAAGGAAGTAGTAGCAGATTCTGCGTTCATGGCTGAAAGTATCGCTCTGCTTGGGGCTTTAGAATGCTTTGATAAATTTAGCAGTGGGAAAGTAGTGG